CACACTTTCAGGTATTGTAAATTAGGAGCGTATCCTTTCCACAATTCATATGGAGTAGAATTTAATTTCTTATGAGGAACTCGGTTCAAGATATGAGTTGCCGATAGAATGGCCTCCCCCCACATGTTATCAGATAACCCATAACTTATTAGTAAAGAATTCATCATCTCTTTTAAAGTTCTATTTTTCCTTTCTGCTATACCATTCTGTTGAGGAAAATAGGGGGCTGATGTTTCATGAATTATGCCATTCTTTTCACAAATATCTTTTAAGAAATTAGATCCATATTCACCACATCTATCAGATCTAACCCGTTTGATTCTCTTATCTAACTGATTTTCAACTTCTGCCTTATAAATAAGAAAGAAGTTTTCAGCTTCATCTTTAGTTCTTAAGAGATAACTTTTGTATATCTTGAATATCATCTACAAAAGTTATGTATTGTTTTCCTCCTTTACTTTCAGTTTTCTAAAATCTGCTAGATCAGTATGAATGAGTTCTAACAGTTCAGTCTTTCTATTAGAACAGTCTTAAAGTGAGGTTAGTATGCTTAGCTTCTACACAAATCTCACATTTGTTAAAGCTAGTTGTGTCTAGTTTAGGCAGACTATTCATATTCATTAATTTCTTTAAAGCATGAATATTCACGTGTCCTAATCTAGCATGCCACATATCAATGGATTCAACAATATAAGCAGAAGTGGTAGCTTTATTTTCATTAAATTGAGTTTCTATGACAAATAAACCATTGCTTAAAAACCCTTTCCCCACATAATCACCATTTCGGGAAAGTACAAGTTTATCTGCCTCAAAAACTAACTTAATGCCTGCCTTATTCAGAAGCCCACCACTTATCTGATTTCTACGTAAGGCAGGTACATACATAACATTATTTAAAGCCAGAGTTTTACCAGAAGTCAGCTTGAGTAAAACCTTGCCTTTGCCTAGCACTTCAGAGCTGCTAGAGTTCCCTATGTACACACGTTCACCAGTGTTCCCATCCTCGAACTCGGTGAAAAACTCCTTCCTTGCGCAGAAACGCTTCGAAGCGCCAATGTCAACTACCCATTCTGAACTGTTCTCCACCAGATTAACTTCTGAGACTACCGCAGCAATGATCTCATCATCTTCTTCTACAACGTGCATCTGTGGCTTGTTGTCATTCTGGCGATCTGAATGGTGTTGGCATTGGTAAGCTTTGTGGCCGGGTAAACCGCAGACATAACACTTGAACGTCTTTCCTTCCGGTTTGGCCTTTCCTGACTTCTTGAAGTTGGTAGCCTTCTGTGGTTTTGTCTTCTTGTCTTGATTCCCACGTTTCATGATCTTCTTAAATTTAGACTCAACCAAGTTAGCTCTAAAAGATAAATTACTCATAGAATTAGTAAGCTTATCTTTTAAACAGTTGGCTTCTTCAATCTTCATATGGCCCACAAGTTCTTCAAGCGAAATGTCTCTCTTCTTATGCTTAAGAGAGTTGCGGTAGTCAGACCAGGACTTGGGCAGCTTCTCAATGAGTACATTGGCTTGCAGCACCTCACACATTTGCATCCCTTCAGCGATGATGTCAGCGACTAAGTTCTCATAGTCATGGACTTGATCCATTATTGGCTTGTCGTCTGTCATCTGGAATTTGAGCCATTCGCCGACAACGTACTTCTTGATCCCCGCATCATCCGCACCATACTTCTTGTCGAGAGTGTCCCATATTGACTTGGCACTCCTTTCTCTAAGGAACATATCAAATAGTTTATTTGACATGTGGCTGAGCAGATGTCCTCGCACCGTCTTGTTGTCCTTCTCGTATTTCTCGTAGGTAGCGAGAGCGGCGGCGGTAGTTGCTAAGGCATCATCATTGAGGACCGCATCCGCATCATTACCGGCAGCTGGGGTTGACGGCATGGTAGGTGGTGGCTTGAGCAACACGTAGTCAAGATCAAGTTGCTCGAAGAATATCATAATTCTTTGGGACCACCTTCTATAGTTCTTTCCATCAAATTCATCGAGCTTGGAAAGATCGGGAATGAGTTTACTCAAAGGTGTCGACATGATTGCAGTTTATGGAATTCGTTTCTAAATTGTTGAATATATGAACTACAAAACTACACCGTTAGCACTGACTGGAAATATAAACAGTAATTAAGAAGAACAAATTCTTAAACCGTGTCGTGGTAAGAACCACTGCTTTAGAAACGAATTCGCCCCGATGTGTGTAATCGCTGCAGTAGGCGGACCGTCCCCCGAGGTTAACACAGTCGCTCCGAATTCCGTACACCTGAAACCGGAGTGGACTGCTGGTGGTATTGTACTTCTGATCGGAAAGCACTCAGAGAGAACTTTAGAAAACACTTTGTAAGTGAATTGTGAATGTTTTTGAATGAGTTGAGAAGCTGAATATAGCTCTCTATTTATAGGCTAGAAATAGGGTTAAAATCGTCTATAAAATTTCAGGATTAAATCTCTTATTTGTAACAGCTGAAACGTCTAGATGAACCTGACTCAGAAATAGTCCAGGTTCATTGTATCATTATTCAGCTGTTATAACTCCCGAAATTATATCATGTAACCCCTGGAATTAAATCAAATAACTCCTGTAACTCCTGATATTAACAGCTTGTCTCCTTTGTACAAAGCTGTAAATCAGTCCAGGTACATCTTAACGTTTCTGATTTAATTTGGGAATAAACTGTTTAATTTCTGATAACAAATAATTCAGCTGTTATTATTTGAAATTCAAACAGTCCTCAGCAGCCTATAAATATCAGTTGATATCTTTCACATTTTCCATTTATTTCTTTCAAAGAGAAATTCCTCAAGAATTTTCTCTAAAAAGATAGTATCCGCGCAGACGTGTCGAAGACACGTATTACCACGACCACGACCTCGACCTCGACCTCGACCTCGACCTCGAGCCGAGCCGTACCGAGCCGAGACGAGACGAGACGGACGGACAACGACGGCGGTGCGCGAGAGCCCCCCTTGTTCTCTATCACTCAACAAGGAAGTGGAATGTCAAGCCTTAAATACCATTCCCAATAGTGTTTCCAACACTATGTGGGATTGAGCATTACCAACAGACGAAGCCAATAAACTCATTGTTAGGTATTGCAGATGCTACCTATGAGCATACAATATTCGTCAACAAAATGACCAATGATGATTTGGCACAAGTTGACATTAATGTTTGTGTACCTGGAAAATCTTGGGATATATTGCAGACGGAAGTATACACAATGAAAAGGTTGCATCTTAACAAACCAACAAGGGCATGGTTTACTTTTCTCTGAACCCGTTTGAGGCCTACTATGCATTCCTCTTCGTTTACTGAAGATAAAATATTATTGCTATACTTTATTTTGGTTGGATGATATATTGATGTTAATAAAATCATCTCGACTAAACTTTTTTTCATCCAGTCAGAAAACTTTGGGATACTTATTTTTTCCTTCACTAATCACTTCATTGTGCCAACAAGCACAAGTGCCAACATTGTCTTCTAATCAGGTTTATACCAACCGAACTCCTATTAGACTAGGTTCGATCAAAGGATCAGACTCTGAACAATATGAAGAGGAGACATTCAATGGACCTATTGTTGATGGTTCCCAAGAATCAATACCACCAACAAATCCTATTATGATGGAATTACAAATTGCCATGGCATCAATGACAGGCAAGAAATATAACATTTTGTTAATGTTGAGTTATGTGCTATAGAACCATCTAAAATACACAATGCCCAGGTGCAATATTGGAAATATGCCAATGATCGTGAAAAAGTAATTCAACAAATTATCAGCAAGCAATTCAAGAAGATAGATGTTCAATTCCCTACTTTCTCGATATTGGTTCTAAATGACTTAGCCCCATCAGCAAAGATGGATACTGCAACAAGCTATACTAGCCATGAGGGGGAACATGAGGACAATGCTGAAGAGAATGATGCAGTAATAGAGGACGAGGGTGAAGATAATGTTTTTTTATAAGAATGATGAGGAAGAAGAGGATAGCGTGACTAATTCGGTGGCATCGACTGAAGTCCTTGTTGTCAACTCTGAGGACGTCAACAAAGAGAAAGTTGTCAGCCACCAAGACAAGACAAGTATAGAAGAGCAAGTTGCTCAAGAATTATTGGAATTAAATGCTAATGCGGTGATGAAGGATGTTGTAGCATTAGAACCGAGAGATTGTGATGCTGCCAAGATTATTAGTAGTGTCATTGTAGAAATTGTTGTATTAGCAGACAACAACCTGCCCAAACACTCTATCATTGAACTCATTGGCGACGCTAATGAAACAAGGGAGGAGCCCAATGTTAAAACCCATGCACTTAAATTGAAGGATGTTACAACAACAACTGCTACTCTCAATCCTGATGTTGTTGTAGCCAAGGCTACGACAATGTCGACAATCCAAACGAGAAAGAGTTCTTCAAAAGTCAAGGTCACTGCAAAACGAGTCCACCCAAGCACCATCAGCCCAAGAAAAACCCACTCAAGCCAACTTAAGGGAGTTTTGTTTTCCCTTTCTAATTATATTTTTTTTATATTAGCATGCATCGAGGATAATGCAACCTTTAGGTTTGGGGTTGTTGTTTGTTAAATTTTTATTTTATTGTTTGGTTGTGTTTTGTTAAGGAGAATTCACGTTTAGTATTGTTTGCATATTTTGTTTTGAGCGTATAGGAAATGCATTTATGATACTGCAAGATTATTATTAAATTGAAGTCGGTTATGTTTCAAATACGACAGTCTATGGGGAAATATAGTGGGTCATTTACTAAAGATCCGCGCGCACATCTTCGAGCATTCATGGAAGTCTATGACTCATTTTTTCAACAAGGAGTTCCTAAAGAAGCACTAAATCTAAGGTTTTTTTCTTACTGACTATGCGATAAAGCTAGAGCTTGGTTTATATCGTTGCCACCTAGTGTTATAGCATCCTGGAACAAGATAGCACAAAAATTTATATTGTGATTAAACCCACCTAACATGAAGGCCAAACTTTGGAACGACCTCACTTTCTTTAAATAGTTAGAAGATGAGAGCTTGTACGAGGCATGAGAAAGATTTAAGGACTTGCTGCGAAAATGTCCAATGCACAGATTCCCATATTAGACACAAATAGAAATGTTTTACAATGGGTTGAACATATACACTATGATGTTGGTTGATACTTCGGCAAATAGGGAATTATTAGATAAAACTTACAATTAAGCCTATGATATTCTAGAGAGAATATCAACCAATGACTACCAATATCCCAATACGAGGAACATGTTTGGCAAACATAATGTTGCAGTAATGGATTCAGATGTTTTCAATACTATGACCTCTCAAATCTCAACATTGATGAAAATGGTAAAACAAAAATACAAAAGCCAGAGGAATCTATGAGGTAAAAGCTACCTTTAGTGTTTCTTGTATTTATTATGGAGATAATCACAATTATGAAGAATGCCTTCAAAACCCCAAGTCTATTTTTAATGTGAGAAATAACAAAAGGAATTATAATTCCTATGGAAACACTTACAATGCCAACTTTCAAAACTATCCCAATCTGTCTTGGAGGAGCCAAAATGTTGCAAACCCTCAACAACAACATTATAATCAACCCTATTAGTACACTCAGTAACAAATGATACCACAGCCTCAAGTACAACATCAGGCTACACAGCCGCAGTAAAGGTAAAACTATCAAGGTCAATCTTTAACACAAACTACCAGTCTATCATATCTTGAAGCCTTAATGAATGAGTGCATGACAAGTAAATCAGTATTATTAAGGGCTTTAGACAGTCAAGTTGGCCAAATGGAGAATATCTTGAGTAATAAACTACAAGGAGTGTTGCCCTATAACACTGAAAAATCCAAAGCATCAAAGGAAAGCTCAATGCAATGAGCATTGTGAGGCCATTACTACTCGAAGTGGCCTCCATATTGGGAAACCTATTGAAGATCCCAAGAAGAATAATGAATGGGATACAAAGAATTACAAGGTCAAGAGCATGAAAGTTGATCTTGAAACACCCATTGTTAATGCTACTGCAAGGGAACCAGGACAATGTAGTAAACCTAAACCATTAACAGTAGAAATGCTTACCACACTGCCTAATACTACTTCATCCTCAATGCCACAATAACTGCAACTAAATATTCCTCCACCATTTCCTCAACGCTTTAAAAAGACAAAGAATGATAAAAAATTGAAGGCATTCATATATTTACTTTGACAATTGACAATCAACATTATGTTGATTGTAGCATTAGAACAAAATTCGAACTACATCAAGTCCATGTAAGAAGTTCTTTCCAAAAAGAGAAGGCTTGGAGAATTTGAAACTGTTGCTCTTACCGAGAGATGTAGTGATATGGCCACAAGTCGATTACCACCTAAGCTTAAAGATCTAGGGAGTTTCACTATTCCTTACGTTATTTGTGATCAATTTGTAGGAAAAGCTTAATGTCACTTAGGTGATAGCATTAATCTAATGTCATTGTCAATTTTTATGAAGTTTGCAAATAGAGTGCTTCCTTCACCATTATATAATCAATTTATTTATCTCTTATATTTTCACCATGATGGAAGCCTAGTCCATTCTCCAGGGAGTGCACTAGTAGCATTGGAGTAGTCGTGTAATAGTGGTGGCTAAATAGGGTTCATTTTTTTCGTGTTTTGAACTTGAAAAATGGGGGAAATTTTTTGTTATGTTGAATGTTTAATTTTACTGTTTTAATGGGTATCGAACATAAGGTGTTCGATTAAATGCTTGGATGATTATTTTTATTTTTAAACTATGTTCTATGAGTTACATTTATATATAATGTTTTATTAGAGATAATAACATCTTATGGTATGTGTTTTAATTATTTTTAGAGATAAAAAAATTAAGTTTACATTCTGGCTTTGCCCCAACATAGGCGTTTTACGAGAGTAAACAAATTCTTATAGAGATATAGGATGCCTATGTTATGCTTTGTTAATTATGAACCTATGAATTTTTAATAAGAGTTAGAAACAAATAGGTTCAAAGTTAATTATTGCATAACTCATGAAATATAGTGCTACAACATGATCATCTTGCTAGCAGCTAAGTAGGACAGCATCTTAGGTTTATCAGTCTAAAAGCTCCATTGTTTACTATAGCATTCCCCTGCTTTTATAATATTGACATTCCTATTTTACTTTCTGTTTGTTAATCGCCAACTCCATCTTTTCTTTTCACTTTAACTCTACTGTAATCAATTTTTCTCCCAGTGGGATTCGACATCTGTAACAACCTTATTACCACTTTATTACTTGTATGACAGTGTATGCTTGCACTTTTGCTATAACATTTACTTAGCACCAAAAATCTTTCACCATCTTCTTCGACAGAGAAATTTGACTCTTCGACTTGATGGAAAAAAATTCAAACAAGATTGGAGCTAATAAAAATTCAACAATATCTTCACTATATTTTAGGTTTCCCACCTCTGCAGTTCCACAAAATTCATCAATGGGCTATCAAAACAATGATTTTACATTTCGAAAAATAATTGACACATACATTACCAATTCAGTGAATAACATTGACCTATTCCACTTCAAATACTAAATCGGGAGATGCATCTAATAATATAGAAGTCAAACTTTAGGGCTGAGCAACAAAACTGAAAAACATAACCGAACTGGACTATTCAGTTATGTTTGGATCATGTTTTTCAATTTACGGTTAGATTTTGGTTCGGTTTAAAAATAAATAAGCAATTCGGTTCAGTTTTGGTTTTCTATATGGAAACCGTTTGAACCAAATTAAAGAGAATTACAAAAATAGAAGAAAATAAATATCCAAAGCACATTCATTTTGATTTTATTATAGAAAATTTAAATAAATAAATATTAAAACCAATAATATTTTTTCTATAAATTTAATTTTATATATTTGCACTCAATTTAAGCTTTAAATTTGTTTTTTAGAGGTTGAGTTTGAAAATTAGTGAACAGTCAAAAACCACTTAATCGAATCGAACTAAACTGAACCAAAAACTTTGATTTTACGCCATTCGGTTTCGATTTTGGTTTCCATTTTTAAAAACTCACAAAATGCTTAGTGAAAAATTGAACTGAACCAAATACACCCCTACTAAACTTCAAGAACTGAGACTATTTGTATATAGAAGGAAGCAAGAGAAAGAATGAAGGATTGAAGAACTGAACTTAACATCTGACGAGTTAACTGACTATAAAGATTAAGATATGTGGGGTGAATACTTAATGCTTCTAATGTAATGTAATGTAATGTAATGTAATGTAATGTAATGTAGGAGTTAATGCTTGTAATGCGTGTTTAAATCAAATAGATTAGCATTATGAAGTTGATAAATAAAACATAATATAAACATAGTAAATAAACACCATAGTCAAAATTTGACAAATAATACCCAACTTGATGTCATGAATTCATTCTTTGATTCTCAAAACTGTCTTTTTTTTCTTATATAAACACCATTAACTCACTCCTATTTATACTAAAATTTCTCAATTTGTCCGTTGGAACACGTCACCTCAGTGTGACGAGTTTCATTCGCACTACTCGTTGGATTATGTGGGTTTCTTAACGGTCAGGTAACAACTACAAATTTTAAATTCAAACACGTGATGAGTTCCATCGATTTTTTCATATATTACAAAATAAATAAAAATATATTATTTAAATTATAAAAAACTTATATATTTTAATAGAAATCATCAAATCGATATGATGAGTTTCGAGAAATATATTAAAAAATTTGACTCTACGGGGTCCACAGACTTGGATCTTTTAAAAATATTATCCAAGCAAAGTCACCATATAGCTGTGACGAGTTTTCTCTACACTATAACAAATTTCATATAATGCAAAATAATATTGAAGTTGGCCTATTGGGTCAAATAAATAATCCTTTTGAATTATTGGCCCAATTTTACCATAAAATTACTTGAAAAATAGAGTGATAAAAAATGGCTCATATAAAGTACAGTAAAAAAAAAATTTGGCCCAATTTTATTGAACTAAATTTTTTGTTTCAATATTTGGTAGGTAATTAAATTACACGAGGACCTTTTTTTATACATATGACATAAAGAAACATAATTTTTGGCAGAAATTACTGTATAATCCGACGACTTTTATCAAATTTTATAAGGTAAACTATGAAAATGGTCATTAATATTTGAGTAAGTTTTAGTATTCACCATTGATGTTTCAAAAGTTACAAATCGGTCACTAACGTTATCATTTGTTTCAAATTGGTCACTTGACATTAGCAGTCGTTAACGTGAGTGGCGAAAAATACAACTGGTTCGTTAACTGCTAACCTAGATTTCCACAATGGAGAGTAAAATCTCTTCAATGATCACCTATTCCCTTTTAAATAAAAACCTAATCCCTAACCCTAATTTACCCAATCCCTAAACATGGCCATCATAGACTAAAACCCAAATTTACATAGACTCCATGATCATTGTTGTTGCTATCAGCTTTCTTGGCCTTGAAACAAGCTTGCCAAGCCTCTTGGTTTTATCTTCCAGATGTAAATTTGTCATCTCTTCTACCATTTTCTTCCCATTCTCTAAAGTTTTTACTGTTTCCTTCACTTTTATCTCCGTTTTCATACTGCAACTCCTTCACTTTAGAATTTGTATCTTAGCGTTCTTTATAAGAGTTTGAGCCTCATAAGCTTACGACGAGGCCATTGATGAAAATGGAAATGAAAAAGAATTGTTCAGTAAACCCTGCAACAACCAAAGTTGACAAAACTTAACAATGGAAATCAACAATTGGAAGCTAAAAAATGCAGGGAAAAGCAATGCAAAAATGATACCAAATTGTTGTCCAAGAAAGCCATTTCAAACTACTTTTATATGTCGATAACTCAAGCGACAAAAGAAAGAACTAGATCGACGAGATGTTGGAGGCATTGGAATCCTTTACAGCGATTGTGAGATTTCGCCACCCCACCTCTACTATATTTGAAACTTTCACCACTATTATATTTAAAGTTGTTGCAGTCCATAGGTTGAACACCACCCAAAGTGTCACACCCCAATTTAGGGGCTAAATTTTAGAAATTATAAAGTATTGAA